TCCCGCCAGTGGGCCGAGTTCGGCCAGCGCAAGCCCGTTCTTCGGAAGCTGGCTGTCCTCATCATGTCGGTCTTCACGTTCATCTGGCTCCTCAGCCAGGTTGCGCCAACCTACGCCCCCGAGTACGACCCCCACAAGCTCGTCAACGGCATGCACAGCGTTAGTGATCGTCTGGGCTCCGACAGGCTGTAAGAAAGGGGTCTACCGGCTAGGCAACATGACTTTCCCCACCTAATGAGTACTCCTCTGCCGAGTCATGAGGCCAGCTCGGCGAGGGCTCTTTTTCTTATTTCTTCCCCTTTTTTTTCCTCTTCTTTGTATTTCGGTACGCGGCTGCGTCGGATCGCCTCTACCGCGCAGCCGGCCGCGGGATGGAGAAGACTACGAAAGGCAGTCTTGAAGACCTCTCGTTGACCTCCTCCCGATCTTTCACTATAAAAAATCCCCCAATACCCCGTTTCTTCCTTCTGCAAGGACCAAAACCCCCTCTAATTCTAAGCACGCAGCCTCTCTCTTCTGCCCCACTGGACAACTGGGCAATTCTTTGCCAGGCTTCTTGAGGAGGGCGGAGGAGGAGATTGAAAAGACGAAAGAGAACGGAGTGGAACGGTCCGATGTACGAATGGCTTCTTACCTTAGGGAGGTGTAAAGGGGCGGCGGCGGCGGCGCGCGTTTGTGTACAGCTACCAGGTGAAGTGGGAGAAGATGCGCGGAAACGGAGCAAGAGCAATGGCGCAGAGCGCATCAGGGAACCCCGGTCGCATGGCTTCTTTTTTTTTTCTGCGCACGAAGGAGTCTAATTTGATGTACTTTAGACGGCGTGAGGATAGACATGCATGTATGCAAATGTTATGAATACTTTCAAATCTGCCATTCTCCATTTTGTCCTTCTGTGCAGCAGCGTTCTGGAGGATGTGGCCGAGCTCGCTGGAAGTCGGTGATGGAGCTACCTGGCGGAACCTCGAGCGACGTGCGTGAAGCGTCAATGATGTGATGCTATACTGAGACTTTTCCTAGCTTGAACGACATCTCCGTTGTTTGCTGCTCCAAGGAATTGCCTCGTCAGGCTGCCACAACATGGCATAAATATTGGGGTCTTCTTAGAGCATCGATGGCCAGCTTGTCGACTTGTCAAGCTTGTCGGTTGCTTCTCCATCAGGCACCAGGGCGACGCAGCCGGAATCCGCCCAGAGTAGACATGTTAGGACGACATTCGTCCTCTGATTTGTTACAGGCTCCCCTTGAGGCTACAAGCCCGCCATGCAACTGCCCCAGGAAGATCCTCGGACCTGTTGTCTGCGAACATGGCCAACTTGGATTGAACGAGGCTAAACAAGGCTGTATGTTCTCACAGGAACCATAACCAAAATTTCCAGGTCCAGGCGACGTTCGCCGACACGTAAATCATCTCGACATAGCACCACGCACAGCACGGCAGAAGCGACAGTCAATGGGTTCACATAGACTCTCGAACACGCTACAAATGCAAGACGGCATCCCGGCCACTGCCGCGTGGGATTACACGGGGCAGCCGGCGCGTCCCCCAACAGCAGCCGCGCGCCCACGCCCCCTCCTCTTCCATCCCCATCGTTTTGTCCCCCCCGCCGTTGGTGGTGTCTTTCGTTCCTCGTTCCCCGAGGTCTGGATTGTGAGAGAAAGAAAGAAAAAGGCCGTCGCTGCATCATCTGCGTCCCGATCACGTCACCAAATGCAATTTGAATGCGTTCCGACAAACAATAAGGGAGGTTGTCATCAGGTCTTTGATTTGGTTCGTGTTGGGAGGTCCTTAACCGAGGATCTCGAATGCCAATTGAGTGATGCTCTTTACAAGCCATACCAACTCCCCAGCCGAGTGACGTGCGCAGAAACGGGTTTCCTTTTTTCCTTTAAAACTCTGTTGTGGCGTGTTCGTCAGTACATCTGGGATGCATGTGTGCGTCGTGAGAGGGTCGTGACATACTCAGAGGAGTGAAGAACCACCGGTTCTTGCCGCTCGTGTAACGCTCCTCCAGAACCTTCTTCACAGTCTTCTTGGAGTCCTCACGCTGGCTGGGCTCCTTGAAGGTGTCGTTGGAGACGGTGCCCTTGAGGCCCTCGAGCTCGAGGGTGTAACGGGTGGGCATGAGGTGGTTGTAGTTGACGAGCTTGACGAAGGGCTTGATCTTGGAGCGCTTCTCCTGGCGCGTCTTGGACATGCGGCGAGTGATCTTGGAGGGGTAGCGCTCGATGCCGGCGACGAGGGCGTGGCCGAAGGGGTGGGCCTTGTTGCCGCTGTCGACGGGCTGGATGATCACAACCTGGAAGAGGGCCGCGTGTTAGCAAAATCTCTTCTGTGCATGTTGTGTGCGTGTTTCCGAAGTCATGTTGCCATGCCGCTTGCTGTCCCGTTGTTGCTTCCTGGTCCGATTGATGGTTTTTTTTTCCCTTGGCCCCCTTGCTGTTGTGTCCTTCTCTTTTTCATCGGCGTGCCGGTGTCGTGCTTGGGCTCGCGATCCTCTTCCTCCTTATCCTCGGGACTCCCATCAATTTTCCATCGCCCCCTCTTCCCACCAACCAGGAAACAACGTGGACTCGGCGCGCAGAATTCGTGGAATCGTACCTTCTTGCCGGCATAGCGACCGTGGGTGATGATGGCGACGCGGCCGACCTTGAGGAACTTCATTGTGAACCGGGGGGTGTCGGGTATCTGGACGGTGTGGTGAGGGAGTTCGTCGGTCACTGGGCGCTGGTCTTCTTCAGAGAGAAAAGTTTCTGGAAATGCGTTGGGGCTGTGGGTTAGCCTAGCCCACTGCACACGGCAAGCGAGGGGACCTAAGCACGTGATTTGGGAGAGAAGTTGTGGGCGGGAATCTGTGGGATGAGTCACGTGCAGCCACTTCTCGGGTGGGTCTAGGGTGCAGCATTCAACCAGTCAATGGGCGGGTCCAGCTCGAGGAGGAGCACTGGCCAACGCGACTACCGACCTCGGATTATCTCGTCTGCTTGCTTGCATCTCGTCCGCCGAACATCGCGAGAGGTCTCTATTGACTTGTTCCGACCATCTGCCTGTTCGACCTTGGAAGTCCCACCCGCTAGTCTGATCACCATCTGGGTTCGACGCGACCAAATCGACATCGTCATTATGCCTGCTCCTACATACATCATCTCCAGGGTGGCCGATCCCATCTTCGCTCTCGCCATTGGTCTCGGCGCTGCCGTGACAAGGATCAACCGCGAAGAGAAGGACAAGGGAAGGTCGACTCAGGAGACCATCGGGATTGCCAAAAGGTAGGCGTCTACATGATGTATTGTGCAAAGTGCCTAGCTTTATGGCTAACGTTCTCAGACGTGTTAACAACTTCATGGCGTCTCTGTAAACAATCAATATCCCACGACAGACACTGCTCGTGCCGGCGCCTCCGTCGACGCATGAGCAGCAGCTCCATCCCGACCTCACATAGCAACTAGCGACAGATACCCAATCAATTTCCATAATCCGGCCCGTACTCCTTCTTCATCGCCTCGCGCACCATCTGCCCGCACAGCTTAGCTGTCGGGTTCGTGCTGACTGCCAGACCCTTGGCAATCTCATTGCCGAGCCTGCCACCCATGGCAAAGTCCCGAGAAGCCGCCTCTTCAAAGTCAATCTTGGCCCAGCTAGACTCTTCTCTGTCTTGGCCCACGGCCACGCGACCCTCTCCGATGAGCTTGGACGTCGTATGGTAAATGGCTGCACGCTGCGTGTACGCGAGAGACAGCGTCTTGGCCGACTGCGGCGACATGGCGCCAAAGGCCAGCTTGGGCGTCAGCAGACGAACAGATGTCTCGGTGTCGCTGAGCGCGGTGGCCGCCGCCCGGGCCCTCTCGTCCGGGCTGGGCTCGCGTACCAGACGCTGTGCATCCTCAGCATTGTCGAGGAGCATGGTGTCACCGTAAAGCCGCCTCAGAGCTTGGGTCCGGTTGTTGCGCGCGCTGGCATAATTGGGGTACTCGGAGACGAAGTCGTCCAGCTTGGAAAGCAAGCTTTTATACTCTTCAACTGGCTCGGCGATGGTCTTGGGTTTGAGTCCTGCCAATTGAAGCTCGAGCTGCTGCATCGACAAGATTATCTCGCGCTCTATCTGGATGACTCGCTCGTAGACGGCGCTGTCGGTGATGTGGGGATCGCGCGGCAGCGACTGGTCCAACATGACAATGGCTGCGGGGTCGAAGTCGGGATCCTTGATCTTCTCCAACACGTTGAGGTCATTGCGACTGAGAGATACTTCGGCCATGGCAGCGACGCGATTGGATCAAGTGTTACGTGAAGTTGTCGAGGGAGTGGCTTAGCTCTTCGTAGGAACGAGTTGTTCGGAGAGGAGGCTGTCAAAGTTGGTATCAGAGATTCGTGTGCTTCCATCGAATGGCATCAACACAATCTGCATCGATGGATCTTTATTCAAGGAAGCTTCGGGCTTTCAAGGTCGGATTCGCCATACAACAGCGGGGCAAGATTGTCAGCGGACGCCAATTCCGCAGGCTGACGGCTGCAGAAGGCTGGCCAAGGGGGCCAGCTTCGGGTACCAGGGGCGATACAAGAACAGACAGATGACCAGCCACCCGTCAACCTCTCACAATGCACGTCGCCATCGAGTCTCTCCAGGACAGCCGCATGACGACCTCTAAGGGTGTGGGGCGTCTCGAAGCGTATCCAAGGCCGGCGCCCGTCGCACCCGGCAAGGCGCGGCTTAGCACGGCTCACGGCGGGCGGCCGAGCTGGGTCGGCCCCTTTCCGCTCACGGCCTATGCCTCGACGGCCTTGCGTGTCAAGCGGCCCCAGCATACGACCGCCCCCTCCAACAGCCGCCGCCAACCTCTCCTTCTCCTTTCGGCACCCGCTGTTGTGCGAAAACAGGCAGAGAGGGCTCGTCACGGGAGCCGCAAAGCCTGGTAATCCGCTGCTGGACATTGGTGAGGCGCGGCAACCCCGCTTCCCTCACACGGCTTATGGACCACACGGACCAGCGTCAGATTACTTTGGGTGTGCGTCTTTCCGTTCTTTTCGGCCCAGCATTTCATGGACCTGATCAAGCGGTATCAGGGGAGGGCGGGTTACAAAGATACTTAAGGAAGTGGTGGTACTTTCGTGACCCTACGAAACGTTGGAATCCTCTTGGTATCTACCCATCTTCACCATCAATCAATTGCAAACCTGAGTCTCTCCCCTTCTTCCTAGACATAAAAACGTTGTCAAACACCCCTTGAATCCATTATATCGAATCACCCCCAATACCTTCTGAGTGTCAATGTCCCCTTCTGCCATCACAGACTCGCCCCCACAGTCCGCCGCCTATCTGGCGGCGCCGCCAACTACAGCAACTCTCAGCGATGGCCTCGCCGTCCAGCAACCTCTTCCCCAGTTCCGCGGCTATGACCACATAACTTGGTGGGTTGGCAACGCCAAACAGGCTGCCTCGTATTACAACAACCTCTTCGGTTTCCGTACCGTCGCCTACAAGGGCCTCGAGACGGGTAGCCGCTACATTGCGTCGTACGTCGTTCAGAACGAAGACGTCCGCTTTGTCTTCACCTCGCCGATCCGCTCGGGCGTCCACCTGCCCGCCGACGAGCCCATCAGCAAGACCGACCGCGCTCTCCTCACCGAGATCCACGAGCACCTCGAAAAGCATGGCGACGCCGTCAAGGACGTCGCCTTTGAGGTCGACGACGTGAAGGCCGTCTACACCACCGCTGTGGCCGCCGGCGCCGCGTCGGTCCAGGAGCCTGGCCTCCTGCATGACGAGACACACGGCGACGTCGCCACGGCCGTCATCCGCACCTACGGAGACACGACGCACACGCTCATGTCGCGTGCCGCCGGCTCCTACAACGGACCCTTCCTGCCCGGGTTCCGCGCCGCGGCGCCCCCGCCGTCCTCGGTGCCCCTGCCGACGGTGCCGCTGAAGCGCATCGACCACTGCGTCGGCAACCAGTCGTGGAACGAGATGGTCGCAGCCTGCGCCTTCTACGAGCGCTGCCTCGCCTTCCACCGCTTCTGGTCGGTCGACGACTCGCAGATCAGCACCGAGTTCTCGGCCCTCAACAGCATCGTCATGGCGTCGCCCAACAACATGGTCAAGATGCCCATCAACGAGCCGGCGCCCGGCAAGAAGCGCTCCCAGATTGAGGAGTACGTCCTCTTCAACGCCGGCGCCGGCGTCCAGCACATTGCCCTGCTGACCAAGGACATCATCGCCACCGTCTCGGCCATGCGCGCCCGCGGCGTCGAGTTCATCAAGGTCCCCGCCACCTACTACGAGACGCTGCGCCGCCGCCTCAAGTCGGAAAAGCGCCGCTGGGAGCTGCAGGAGGACCTCGACGTCCTCGAGGGCCTCAGCATCCTCATCGACTACGACGAGGGCGGCTACCTGCTCCAGCTCTTCACCAAGCCGCTCATGGACCGTCCCACCGTCTTCATTGAGATTATTCAGCGCAACGAGTTTGACGGCTTTGGCGCTGGCAACTTCAAGAGCCTGTTTGAGGCTATTGAGCGGGAGCAGGCCGAGCGCGGCAACCTGTGAGCGAGTGCCGGGACAGGGAGTTGAAGGCGAAAAATGGGGAGAACGTATTCTCTGGAAGAGGAGAATCACGCGTTTGTTTTGCATGCACATCGAGCATGTGTGATGAAAGGAATATTCATGTCATGAGAATTATGACCTCGTTTCAGTAGTAGTAGTCTGGCAGCATTGCTCTTAATGAGATGACGCGCCGTTTCGTTTTGATTTACAACATGTTTTGTTGCTGGGCCTCCCAAGGAAACAATTATACCTGAACGCTGCATCATGTTTGTCCCCAAGTGATTCGCCATGGCGAAAAAACGAAAGAAAGAAAAAAAGAAAGAAAAAAAAATCAGTCCCCCCATCTCCTTGAAAGGGCAGCCGATCCAGCTGGCCCGGTACTCCGTTTCGCCCTGCAGATGCTCCAGAGCTCCCAAGCTCCCTCGCGGATAAAGCAGTCCCTTACTTACAACGAGCCTCCTCCCTCTCCTCCCTGTCTTGGCCTGTCAAGACCATGGCGTTCTTGTGCCGAGTTTCTCACATTGCGAATGAAAACCCCTAGCTGTCCACGTCCATCGCCCCGTTCGTCCCGTTCTCCCCGTTCGTGACAGCGCCCCGCGCGTCGCTCTGACAGCCGGGGCAGTTGTGTATGACCTCGTGCGCAAAGACGTCGCAGTCTATGCAGAAGTGGTTGCCGCACACCTGACACGCGTAGCGACTGCTCTCGCTGACGCCCTTTTGCTTCGGCACCGGCGCCGCCTCCTTGTCGCCGCCGTCGGTGCCGTTGGTCCTGTGGCCGCGGCGCTGGGGCGGCGGGTCGGGAAACGGCGCGAGGCACGCGTAGCAGGCGCGCGAGGCGGCGGCGCGGGCCCAGGGGACCTCGACCCAGTTGCGCAGCGGGAAGAGGTGGTGGTAGGAGCGGGCGAGGTGGGTGGAGAGGATGAGGGTCAGGCCGCAGGCGGGACACTCGGCGGGCAGGCGGCAGACGCGGGTGCCGCAGCGGGTGCAGAGGTAGCCCTCCCGGACGGGCGTGTTGTGGCAGGCGCAGTAGGCCGTCGTGTCGGCGGGGGCGAGGGTGCGCGAGGGGAAGCCCATCATGAGGAGCGAGGCCGTGCTCTGGGCCTGGGTGCGCGTCACGGGCGGCGTCGTCGTGCGGAGCAGCAGCTCGCGGTAGTGCATCTCGTCGAGGGCAATGTTGTACTGCGTCGCGTCGCCGGCGTTGGTCTTGCGGCAGAGCTCCTCGCAGATGGCCACCTGGGCCGCGAGCCCGACGATCGACACGCGTATCCTGTCGGCGAGGAGGTTCGCGATCGTGTCGTGGATGTCGCCGGGGTCGCTCGACAGCAGGGCGCCGTAGACGACGAGCACCTCTCTCGTGCCGTGGCTCGGCGCGTGGCTGTAGAGGGCCTGTTAGTAAAGAAGAAACCAAAGCTCATCGCTGTATCCTTCGTCGACCTCGCGGACAAACGTCCCAGACACAGGGCGGGAAGCAGAACTTACAACAGGGCACCACGACACATCTCGAGCGCATTCTGCAAACTCGGGCTGCCCTGCGGGTCAATCTCGGCCCACTTGTTGATGGCCTCGACATGCTCGACGGGGTTGCCGCCCATCTCGCTGACGCGGACGGCGACGCCGTCGCGCATGCCGACGATGCCCATCTGCGAGATGGGGTTCTGCTCAAAGTACTCCTTGACGAACTCGCGCGCGAGGCGCCACGTGAGCCGCAGCCGCGTGGGCAGCAGGTCCTTCTCGGCCATGGCGAAGCTCATGTCGAGCACGAGCACGAGGTGCCGGATGATGCCGCGCTGCAGCGGCGTCGTATCGCGCAGCAGCCGCCGCCGCTTCTCGGCCTCGGCCCGCCCCTCGACGTCGAGGCTGCCGTCGGCGCCCTCCTCGACCGTCTCCCACGACCGCTTAACGACCTCCCATGCCGCTGCCTTGCCGGCCTTTTTCTTCTTACGCGCCTCCTTGCCGCCGCCCGCCGGCCGCGAGGGTCTGTGGCGGTCGTCTTCGGACTCGACAAAGTCGCCGTCGGAGTCGGACATGGTGGCCCGGGGTGGGGAGAGGCGAGCGTTGAGGTATGCTGTCGGCAAGGATGGGGCGACAAGGCGAATCGAGGTTTCGAATGGAGGTGGCAGACGACAAAGATGGCGGCAAAGTTGTAGAATACTTTGCGGAGGAAGGACCAAAGTGGGAGATCGAAGGTTGGAAATGTGTAGTTGTTGGTGCAAACAAGGTGGGACGAGGCTACAAGCGGTTGATCATTGATTCACAGCCTTGTGCAGGGGCCTCTGACAACGCTGCCAATCGGCGCTCTCGTAATGTTTCGTGCACCGATATCTCAGAGCGCAACCTTTGTTGTACCTGTGTAGCAGTCTGTTGGCGAAAGACTTTTCCCAGCTTTGGAAATGCCTTCTTCTGTATACAGCAATAGAGAGGGGGCTTGATGGCAAGTGGCCGCTGCCAACGAGATCATTATAGGTCATCATCATTCCACAGCCAGCACGTCCACTCACGACTCGTCAGCTCAGCAAACACGGGACACACTGTACGTCAATGAATGGTATGTAACTACTGACTTCTATGTATTATACGCTTCTCTCCGGGGTATAAAGTGCGCAACTAAACTACGACTACGAGCCATTCCCTCAACTTCATGCTCTACACATAAAAGCCGAGCTGCCTACACCCACCTTGCACACATGTCCAAAAGCCCCCCCATTTCTTCTCTCTGATTCCATCTCGTTTGCAAATAACCAAAACTCGTCGCTCGCGGCCCATGGCAGGCGGACGCGACGACCTGCCCCAGACAGCCCCCGTTGCCTCGAGGCGTATTTCGGCCTGGGTTGGGGCGTCTCCGGCTGTATTAGAAGTACTGCCATGTGTCATTTGAACTCTTCTTCGTTCCTTTGTTGCTCGTGAAAAACGTTTGCTGTGTTTCGTGCGATCGGTTCGTTGCCGTCGTTGCGAAAAAATGAATGAGTGTGTCGAAAAATAGACAATGTCCGCCTGGCGATCCTGAAACTCCGTTTCCGTAACGTCGTGGACGGTCGCACCCGTTCTCTGGGGGCGACCTTCGAAATGGACGTGTTTTTGTGTACATGACCAAACTGGGTGGTTGTGGTCTTGCCTCGGTGCGCTGCCTCTCATGCAGCATCAGCCGCAGCAGCTTCGTCGTTCAACAGGGCAGCAATTAAGCTGACCCCTTCACATCGCTGCCTGCTTGCTGACCCTCCTGCGAACATTCACCAGTCCCCGTCTAAGGGTACGCGGTGCCAACTTGCATCGGCCAGTCGTCCTCCGTGATGCTCGACCAAAAGATCCATACCATGACGACGGACAGAAGGGTGAAGAGCGTCTGGAAAAGGGCGCCGTCAATGGCGCCGTTGGTGCCGTCACAAATGTGCGAGCTGACGACGTAGTTGAAGACCTGGCCAAGAGCAAAGAGGACGAGAGCAGCGGTCAAATAAATCATGGGCCTCGTCTCGCCGAGGATGCGGAGGACGAGAACGGCCTCGAGGACGAAGAAGGCGACGAGGAAGATGAGGGGGACCAGCTGGTACAGGACGTAGAGGGCGATGTGGCGGTTCGGTGGTGAGTTGTAGCTGTCGTCCCAGTAGCCCGTCCACTTGAAACCAGTGTCGAGCGTGATGTACAGAGTGCCGCCGAAGAGAAGGGCCGCTGACAGCACCATGAGACCGAGAGAAAGTGGCGTGCCGTCGTCCACAATCTGGAAGCCAACGAGGGCGTTGAGCATGAGAATCCAGGTCGAGGCAATGATCAAGCCAATGTGAATGCCAGTGAAAGCCTGAGAGGGGTCAGCGGTGGGGTCCGGACCAAGTGGACTTGAAGACAGGTCAACGTACGATGCGGACGCCGTCGTGCAGGGGAAACTCTCCAACCGTGAAGATCTCTGCGAGCGAAATAAGGATGTAGGTAGCGAGGAATATTTGCATTTCCCTGGCACTTCGAGTCAGTCTCATGTCGCAGCAACGTGGCCGTGCCGTCGGGGTTATGCGTACCTTCGCCCAACAGCTGCCTTCTTCCTCTCCGACTTGAACAAAAGGAAGGCCGAGGTCGCGATGGCGAGGGCGGCGATGATAATGGATCCGAGGTTGCCTAGCCTGCGATCACCTCCGACAGAGATGCCGCGAAGCTCACATCCGCCCCATGGGCCGGACTGGTCGTGCGCGTCGGATAAGACATTGCAAACGGGTAATGTCGAGTCCCGGCAGAAGTTCTAGGAGGTTGTGTTAGCTCGGCTACCAGAGGACCGAAGAGGGAGATGTCGACGTACGTGAAAGTTGCCAAATTGTGTGGAGCCCATTGTCAATGGTCGTGAGGGCGACAAAGGTATCGCCGCGTGCCTTGAGGAGTGAAAGTCAAGGTTTTCCAGTGGTTTGCGCGCGCGAGCGGGCTGCCAGGCGTGGTCGTGACAGAGGGTGTTTCAGTTTGCTGCTCCAGAGGTTGGCCGCCCAATGGCCCAGGCGATTGCAGGCTGGAATGCAGCGAGGATGGGCCGTGGGTTTATCTGCTCTGCCTTTTTGCCTTTTTTTTTGCTTTTTCGCTTCTTTGTCTGCCGATTTCGATGCACGTCAAGATCGGAATGCAAGACGTTTCTGGCCTTCCGGATTTGCGGTGAAGGCGCAGTGGAGGTGGTTGGTTTCAATGGTGGATCAAATCGTAGGTTCGGGTGCGGGCCTCCGTAAGACGTGCAACTTCGAAGAATGTGCCGTGTTGTCTGGGCTGGTCAAAATACGATGGACAAGTGTGCTCGGAAGAGAGTATCGTCGAGTTGGCTGCTCAATTGATGTGGGAGAGACGTGGTAGAAGAGCGGAGGGGAGGGGAGGTAGGTCGAGGGAAGTGAAGAGAGTTGGAAAGGCCGAGTTTCGCGAGAAAGCAAGCTGAAGCTGGCGATGGCTGTTGTTACGGTGACAGGCAAGACCAGACCAGAAACGGCGGGCGTGGGACGGCAAGGACAAGCAGAACAGAAGTGGGTGAGCAGCGGCGGCGAACCTGCTCCAGCGCGCGCGGGCGAGAGTGAGAGAGACAAGGCACGATATAAGGTTGGCTCCAGCTCCAGGGCTTCCCGCCCCCCCCCCGAATAGGACCCCCCCAAGCCCAAGCCCCCTCCCCCTGGCTGCTCGTTGCCAGATTGCCGGGGGGGGGGGGTCCTGGCAATTCCAGCACTTGGCCGGCTTGGCCAGCATCCTTGCACCTGGCCTAGGCCGGAACCGTGTTAGAGGGCGAGAGACAAAGGCCTTCTGACTGGTGCGTCGCAGCTCATGCGGGTCTCCAGCCAAGTAACGCGACCCTGTCATGACTGTCTCATTGGCGGGCTGTCCTGGAAGCAGGCAACCTGGGTAATTGGACAAGCGAGGCTACCCGGCCCGTACATCGTAGCGTCGACTGTGAGATTACCTTCACTTTCAACGAGCAGCACGTCGCGCGCGAAACGGACGAGACGGAGCGTGTAGGCTGGAAAAGGGATGGGATCCGGCTGTCGAAGAAGTGGTCTAAGGAAGAGGGAGGGGGGGGTCACGATGGACACCTCGAAATTGAACTCGACGAGAGGGAGCCTACTGGACAGGCTGACAGGACAGCAGCGTCGATCAGGACAGGCACGACCCGAGCGTCGAAGAAGATCCAAGACAGGGCCCCGAGACAGCGAGCAGGTCTTCGCGCCTGGCGACGTGTCGGTTCGTGTCGTGTTGCAGTGGAAGCGAAGCGGGCGTGCTCTGGCAAGAATAGGTACTGTACATGTACCCATTACATGGACCATGTACTGTCCTCCATGCATGATGTGCTGGAGCACAGGTACATAGCATTTCGAGGAGGCGGCGTGGCCTGATTGGCTTCGAGCGGCCCTATGAGCGCTGTCCTCTGGCAC